ATTATTCAATCTAACGTTCGGACGCTATGCGATGCCTGTAAGTACTACGCTCTACAGGACGTCTACAACAGTCTCCCTTCCCAGCGCCTCCGTGTGTGTCTTGGCAAAAATATCATGTACCCCCCCTCCACTTCGCACGCACGTACGTGCGTGCAAATAATAGCCGGAACGCCGAGTACTGTCTTCATCCCACTAGGCCTTCCATTGTCTGAACCCGCCACCTCCACACTATGTACTTTCGAAAAGGCATACATACAGCGTAGAACTCGGTCCGCGCCATCCATGTGACGTAACGTCGAGACCAATTGTGTGAGCACATCACAACACCGCAATGTTACTGTTGTTGCGGTTTACCACCCGCCCGCCACAACCGTGTGAGAATACGGGGATGTAACGCTCGCCGCGTTCCAGCTACGTAAGTACTCCTCTCAACAGACACGCGTGGAGACCTTTCACACGCGACACTACAACCGTTTAGAAGACCAGAGGCCTACTTGTAGGCGAACCCGGACAACCACGCCTTGCACACAATGCAAACGTTAAGGCCATCGGCGAACGAAAAAAACACCATGAATGTTCGGAATGAAACCAATACTTGTGGTTGTCGACTCGCAGTTAGACAAGAACACTTGAGTCCACGGTGGGACGACGTTGTTCCCCCTACCGCTCGCTGCTCTTCGGTCCAATAACCTTCCACAAGGACTGGCCAAGAAGGCATTCTCGCGCCCTTGTCGTCTGTCTTCGCTTACGAACGCCATGCTTCCGCTGGCTGTGGAAAAAACAGAGCTCAACACTCTCTGCGTCTCGAGATGGTGAGGCACGGTCACTTCGTGCCCCCTCTGGGTCTTATCTCGATGTCTACTCTTCTTCCAGACTCGCTGTGATAAACAGTGCTTGTCGAACGATAATAATTACAAAGTGCACTGGTCTCCCTAACGGCAAAACCACATAACGCTTGCAAGGCCCGACGAAAAAGTCCCCCCCGCCGCTCTAGCGCCTCACAGGTCCCTTCCATCTACCGAGGTTGGGCCGTCATCGTCGTCCTCCTCCCCATCGGCCGTCCTCTTGCGGGCCATCATCGTGACCAGGACCAAGGAGGCGAGAATCGCACCGACGACTAGCCCGCCGAAAAGAACCAGGATCTCCTCCTCTCTGGAGATGCCGTCGCCGCTGCTGCCGTCTCCGGAGTCATCGCCGGCCCCGGCGTCGATCCCGGCAATGTTCGCTCGACGAGTGGGTGACGGCGTCGGGGGGCCCGGGACGGAGGGCGAGGGGGTAGGCCTCGGCTGCGAAGCCGACGTCGTCGGGGGCCCCGTGGCAGCGGAAGGAGGCACTGTTGGTAGTGGGGGACCTTGCGTTGTAGGGGGCACCGTGGCATCGGAACGGGGAAAAGCCGGCGGGCCCGTAGGTGCCGGGGTGTCTGGCGATGTCGGTGACGGCGTCGGGGCAGGGGACGGGGGCACGGGAGCCGGAGAGGGTGGTGCAGTGGGCGCCGTTGTCGGGGGTGCGGTGGCTGGAGAGGGAGTGGGGGCCGGCGTGACGGGCGACGGTGTGGGCGACCTTGTCGTGGGAGAAGGCGTCAGAACAGGAGCAGATGTCGGGGGGAACGTCAGACGAACCGGCGCCGCTGTCGGTACTGGAGTAGCAGGAGCCGCCGTTGGTGCCGGCGCCGCAGTGGGTGCCGGGGTCGAAGGAGCTGCGGTTGGCGCTGGAGTAACAGGCGATGTAGTGGGTGCTGGGGTGGCAGGAGCTGCGGTTGGTGCCGGAGTAGTGGGTGCTGGGGTCAAAGGGGCTGCAGTGGGTGTTCGGGTAGACGGGGCCGCGGTGGGTGGCGGGGCAGAAGGCGCTGAAGTTGGTGCCGCGGTGGAAGGAGCTGCGGTTGGCGCTGGAGTAACGGGCGATGTGGTGGGTGATGGGGTAGAAGGAGCCGCAGTGGGTGGCGGGGAAGAAGGCGACAAAGTTGGTGCTGGGGTAGAAGGGGCTTCGGTTGGCGCTGGAGTAACGGGTGTTGTAGTTGGTGCTTGGGTGGAGGGGGGTGCAGTGGGTGCAAGGGTAGAGAGGGATGCAGTGGGTGCTGGGGAAGGAGCTGTGGTAGGCGCTGGTGTAACAGGCGCTGCAGTGGGTGCCAGGGTAGTAGGAGTTGCGGTTGGTGCTGGAGTAAAAGGTGCTGCGGTGGGTGCCGGGGTAAAGGGAGCCACTGTTGGCGCTGCGTTTGGCCGGCGGTGTCAAGGGAGCGAGCGACGTCGGAAGAGGAAAAGGGTGAGTTGTGTGGTGCAAGAGAGACCATCTCTATGGCTTGTCGGGAATATATCAGGAAGAAAAACAGTTGCTGCGCTCGTTGTAGTGGGGCCGACAAAACGATGGCGTTGGCAGAATTGTCCTCAAAACGCCCTACAGCTTAGCTGCTTCGGCCACGCGGCTCGCGGCAGGGTTGAGACTCCATGACAAAGCAGCGCAAGCCGACATTGGCAATTTAGGCGGCTGGCAGAACGCGACCTGAGAACAACAAACGTAGCGCTGTTCCTACCGTGCTGTTCCTACCACTACGCTGCCGCCGCCGCTGCTGCTTGGCAGAACACCACGTGAGAAACGACAAAAAATGCTCCTCTTCCAATACCGCTACACGGCCGCGGCCGCCGTCGTCACCCCTGCAGCGGCTGCTGCCACCACGTCAAGGGTCCTAGTGAACGTAGGAACTACAGCTCACCTGGGGTTGCATCCACGGGAGCTGTTGTCGGTGCCGTCGTTGGGGAAGGAGTCGGCGCAAAAGACGGAGCCGGAGACGGGACAGGCGTCGGAGCGGGGGTCGGCACCGGGGTCGGCGGCAGCGTCGGCCGTTCCCTGCGGTAGACCATCCCGAACGACGTGTCTCCGTCGTGACCCCCCATGTAGAGGTCCCCCCCGGTCGTGTCGGGTACCATGACGCTAGACAACAAACGCGACGTCCTGTAGTTGAACGACTGGTAGGACACCAGGGTTTCTCCGTCGGAGGCGTCGAGGGACATGGACACGAAGACAAACCTGAGTAACCTCGGTCTGGTGTCAGGGTCGTCTTCTCCCGCTGATCCGTCCGTGTCGAAACCTTACAGTACGATAGCAGCGGGTGTGTTGTTAGAGGGCATGTCCCGTGGAAACACCGATAGGTTTATGAGAGCCCGAGGTGTCCTTCATGGCATGCAGGATACCACCCTCTACTCTTCCCGCCCCCCCCTGCCCGCACATACAAATGGGAGGCCCTGCGCAACAGCGTGTGAATGTCTCGGTTGTGAGATGGCGGGTTTCTATGTAAGTGGCCTTCGATCAGAGAAACGCCGAGCGGCTTCCTCCTCGCGCCCGCGAATCATCCCCGACATCGTTCGCCAAAAAGCGGGCCAACTGCAGTATGCCCGCCCGCCCGCCTTCAAAACCCAAACACGACCCCCATCCATCACCTGTCCCTCGGGTGGTTCCGCCTACGTGAAGCACGCCGTTTCTGTCGAAGGTGATGGTGAAGGCGAAGTCCGCGCGATCCACCAGCGGGCCCGAGGTATAGGTCTTGAGCCAGATGGTTTCCTGGGTCGACGGGTCGAGAGCCAAGACGACCATGTCCTGCAGCTTGACCTCCGGCGCGGGGTCCGCGTCCAGGGCGTAGGAGAAGTCCCCCCGGGTGTAGCCGCAGGCGTAGATCACGCCGTTCTCTTCGTCGAAGACGAGATCGGTTAGGATGTCGCTGTAGATGGTGCCGTGCGTCCAGGTCCACAGAACCTTTCATCCGGGTCGTTAGATATTGCAAGGCACGTTTAGGTGGTGGTAGGAGTACGAAGAGAGTCGTGTTTGATGTTGGAAGTACTTTCGCTGCTCTCTTGGCAGGTATGCTTTTCATATTGGTTGACGACCTTTAGTACGACCCTCCCCCATGATGTTCGTCGTGCTGACTCCGGCATCATGCGCTTGTCAAAGAATGAAAAGCAGAGCCCGCAACGTTCGTCTGGTCCCTGGTTTGCCCCCAACGAAGCCTGTGCCTGCCGCAATTTTCATGTGTATCCACCACCACCATGTATGTCGACAACTGCGCGTACGTAGACACCATACCTGTCCCGTGGCGATCTCGAACGCCGCCATGTAAAGGTCTGGGTCCTCGTCCGGTTCAGACATACTCCCTGCCATGAAGACCATGCCGCCGGCAACATCTAGCGCTACGCCTAGAGCTTGTCCTGAGGAATCGTCGTCGGCGGCGTCCAGCTTTTCCCGCAGCAGCAAGAAAGTCGCGACATCAGGAGAAACAGGGGAGGAAGAGGGATTATGGTTACGTCCCATACACAGAACAACAACGAGCAGTGATGCCGGCCGGTAATGACGACGACAAGAACACCTGCTGAAGAAACCACAATCGCGGAAAGACAGAAAACGCAATGTAAGCATAAGAGCACATCTCAAACAAAACTAAAAAGGAGATAATTCAAACACACGAATACGTGTCGCGCGTGCGCTACAGGTGCAGTCTAGTCTACGTGCCATCATATGTTCAATATCTAGCCAGGGAAGGTGAAAGCGAAACAACCGCGAAAAGGGGAGTCTGTAGTCTACTGCAAGAACCGAGACAAGTGGATGGACCTTTGGTGTCGCTTACCGATTGGCTCCACACAAGTTCACCGGTTGTGGCATTTAGTGCGGTGCCCATGAACACGGTATTGAAGTTGGAGTAGTCGGCCGGGCAGCTATTTCCGAGGCATCTGACAAATACAACAAAAAAACATCGCGTGAACACTTGGGCAGCGAATGATGCCATTATTTGGTGCTGATGAACATGGAACAATGTTTTGCGAGCACGAATCAAGGTAATCGTACGTGACATGTTGGGTTTAGCGACACTGCTCGAGACGACTATGCTCGCTAGGAGCACTATTAGAACGGTTCGCAACCAGCAGCAGTAGTAGTTCAATGGTTCGAAACCAATCGTCCTCATCACGAACCAGAAGAGACGGCAATCGCATCGGTGAAACTGGCCCGGCCAGAAGACAGTACAGTCCTGCTAAGCCGTCGGTAGTCTTGGAGGTCGCCGGCCAACCCCCCCGAATATCCCGCTAACCACCCAGACCGTACACCGTTGCTTTCGCAATCCAACGACCACAGCTCCAGCAGATACAGAAGCTGTTGGTCCATTTATTTCTGATGGCGCAGCAGAAGGTCGGGCAAACGACCGACATTCTCCCCAAGCCAAAACAACGCAGAGGTAGACTAATCCAACTACACAGACGCGCGTGTTTGTACACTCACCCGGCGGATTGCCCAGCCAGGAGCAGCAGCCCAGATATCGCATCGTACTCGACCGCGTTGAACTGGCTAGCGACGTAGGTTTGGTAGACCCCACCCTGAGCGGCGTTGGATTTTAAATGCGCAACTCAGAGAGAACGAAAGGGGGACAATTCTTCTTCTTATCTTCAAAGAAGGGAGGAAAGTTATTCCGTTGCGGATGTTAGAGGTCCCAACAACAACAACAACAACATATGCAAGCACCTCCGACGGGATCTTGGATTGATCTTGGTAGTCCCACACAGTCGCGCCACTTGCTTCGTCGAGGGCACGTCCGTTGAACCAAAGTTCTGAGCTCTCCTCCACGTCGCCGTTGTAGATCTGCCCTACTGCGAAGACTAGACCGTTCGCTCCGTCAGTCGCGACGTCTTCGCACAAGCAAGCGCGGGAAAGGGGCGGTGCTTCACTTCATGTCCTCCAAAAGAGCGTACCATATATAATGCGATACTGTATTCTTCAGGAACCAAGACAAAGGTTGGGCCAAATTACTACATGTATGCACAGTATGTAGGTTAGTGGTTAGCCGAAACTGAGTTCGCGGGAAAGTTATCTACTCCTCGAAGAATTGGTAAGGTTTCAAGCGGAAAATTGCGTTGTGACCGCAAAGAAACAAGCGGCCACAACATTCTGTTGGTTCAGTTTTACCATCTTCCCTACAACATACTGAACGAGGGGCGTCCAACATTTTTCGTAGGTATAATGGCCCAATGAAATTCCTTACCGGAAACACTGTTTCTGGGCACTATCTCACCGTACATACATTTTCATCCAAATCGAAAAGAACGCGAACTTTCGTTTAATCCCGGCGGATCTGCTGCAAAGAACGGGTGTGATTCGTCCACGTACTTCTCGAAATAAACCAAAAGAGAAACTGAGCGAAAAGTTTCCCAGACCATATTATTTTGCACATCTGTAGTTCTATGTACGTACGTTCTGCAATGAATGACGCCACCCTACCCTGAGCGCAGTTCCCACAACTCACTGCGGGAAATAAATCAACACACACACACACACAAAGCAAGGGGGTGATGGTGAAAGGACTCCCAAACGAACTCGAGTGCAAGGTAGTTGTGTAGCAGCCTTGGTAGTCGCGTGCAGTCTTTTGTTTTTGTTGCTGCCGTTTCTGCCTTTCACCCGGAGAATAGCTTAGCCTCCCCCATGCCGCCCCCTCACGGGGTGCCAGTTAATGGCATTTAGGAGTGTTTTGTGTTTTCAACCGCACTGAGACTAACGTCTTTCATTGGTCAGCCGGTTAGCGCGGCCGATGCTAACAATGAAAGCACAATCACGAACACACGGCCACAGACAACTCTGTTTTGAGGAGGGGCGTCATGGCTTCCTGAGAGGAAAGACGATCGGAAGCCATTTAGAGCCGCCCCACAAAACACCTTACTTACCCGTCCACTGATCCTTCTTGTCCTCGGCGCCATCAATCAAGAAAAACGTGTCTTCGTTGGACGCTAACTCGATCCCTCGGATGAATCGGTCATGCCTAGTGAGAGAATCTCCCGTATCGACGTCCGTCAACCTGGGTGAACGTGGGTGTGTAGGCTATTCCAGTGAGTGCGTCCATTTCTGAAAAGCAGTCTGTCTTCAGGAGGGGGCGCGCGTTGAGCAGGCGCATGATTATTGTGTGCGTTGTATAGCTCGCATCGATCGGTCGCCCTCACTGAGAGACCACCGATATGCATGGCGCGGGAACATGGACAGGCGAGATATTTCTGAGTTTGCTGGGCAACAAAACCATATGTATAACTAACTGCTGCTGCTGCTGTGGTGTGTTCTTCTTCCAAGTTATCGTGCAGACGAAGACTCGACAGTATTCATTTTACCATGCCAGTAAATAAGACCTTAGAGTAGAGAGGTGGGGAAAATGACTGCGAGCAACGGTAATACTCTAAAGTGTGATGCCTGAGAAGAACGACGCATTGCACGTGTTCTCGCCGCCCGAACGACGAGCGGTCGTATGAATTTCATAGTCAGTCGAGCAGCAATGAAATCTGAAATCTGGCCTTCAAGCGTACAATGGACCGACTAGAGATTGAGAGCGACCGGAAGGAGGTATAGGTGAACCATGCTAGATAACCCCTCGTGTACATTGAGTTAGACTTACCAAATCTTCACGACGGATTCGCATCGAAAAAGTAAGATCTGCCTTCCTTGTGGCGGTAGTACAACATCGCGTAGACGATACTACCGTAGGTGCGTTTGTCGCGGATGGAGCACGGACCTTGTGCCGACCTCATACAGGACGCCGGACTGTGGACTGTATGCTATTCCCGTGGTTTCAGACTCCTCCGGCTCCTCGAACACAACCTCTGGCACTAGCAGCTGCTCGTCCTCCGCCGACACGCCTTGCAAAGCGCAGGACAGGACCGCCGTAGCAGTAAGGAGCCCGTTCCTCCACCGCAGCACACGCGTCGCTGACGATGCGGCTCGCCCAACATCATCACCATTACTGCCGCCCATGGAGAGAGCTGTGGCAGCGGCAGTGGCGGCAGCAGCGGCAGAAGCTTGGGCCATCCGGCATGTGAGTCTATTCTGCTCGTCCACCCACCAATAGTCGAGGTCTTCAGAGAGAAGGTAGACTATAAAGAGAAAGCTTTGCACTTGGAGCCAGCAGGCGGGAGGGAAGACGCGCGACGTGCAACGTGGTTCTTTGCGGTCTTGCAACAGTCAGGTATTGTGGGCGCCATTATTTTAGCAGCAAGCAGTTCGCCTAAACCTGCACCGTACGATAATCGTGCGGTGACGTTTGTCGATGTATGCTGACTGCGATCGTCACCCATTCTTCCGCGGACCAATCGCGTGTCGAACCCGTCTATTGGCCAATTGAAATGAAAGAAAAGAATAAAAAAAAAACGAACTTGACCGGGAATCAGATTCTAGATCAAAGACTACTAGCCTACAGTAGTAGTCTACATTCTACCCAGCATTTTCAGACTACATAGATCGGACGTTTCTCGTGGTGGTGTTGATGGTGCAGCTGCTGCTACTGGCACGCACGCACATAGTGGTAGTCTGCGTAGTAGTCTATGATACTGGCGTTGGCTAGCTTGGCGGCGGGGTGCATGACAGTCCGCTCGTTTTTCGTTCATGTCTCCTCGTGGTGGTGCAGACTAGACGGTGTGTGTGTATGTTCTCGCCCGGTTATTATTCCTGTGGGGACATACCTCTAGGCTAGTCTAGACATACCTTTGGTTTACTATTCGGTTCACCAGCCAGCGTCACACAGGTGGAAGGTGGAACGTAAAAGCATGAAAGGACAGTCCGATCTTCTTTGTTTCTCCGCCTTTCGCGTGGAAGACTACAGTTCATGTGTACAGACAGCAAATCACAGCCATATCGTAGAGTCATACAGCAGTATAGCCCACACCATGGCATGTGTAGCAGGTGAACTTTTTCGTCGCGGTTCAAAGGACTCGTATCCAATCATGTTTATGGAGTTGTACGAACTCAAGAGAAGTTCAATGATAACCAGATAGACTACTAGCGCTAACTCATACTACGGTTACAGCCCTAAAACACAGTACCTTTGCTGCGAGGGTTTCGAGCCAGCCTCGGTGGTGTCCACGCCATTAATATTTGATACATGTAGCCTGCATTGATTGAGAAACAGAGAGGTGCTAGGCTGCTGTACGCGTTGGAGGCTGGACGCTGCGTCGGGACTACACTATGTACAGCAGTAGTTTCGAAGAAAGTGTCCAACCACGGCACACGCACATAGTCTATTTCCGATAGTACGGAGTCAACCTTGCCAAAAGTGGCAAGTACGTTTTTCGCTGTACCCCACACTGTCCCAAGTCCGCTCAAGCGCTTACGCGAATGAATGCTACCGAAGTGCAAGCCGGACATCCCGCCTTGATCCACCACCGGAAACAGCCGACCTTTTTCGCAGAGGAACTCGTCAATTGCCTTTGTAGAGATAAATCGAAAATTGCCTCAATCAGTAGATTACCCTTTGCGAGGCATGACGCCGCAGGTAAATATTTTCTCACAGAGGCATACAAGAATCTCGATGGCACTTGACGTAGGCTTTTCGAGGTTGCGCTTGAAAAAAGTACTGACGATCCCGGAGCTAAAGCGTACATACACATCTAGACTTGGAGAACGCCTCACCACTTAAACCTGGAAGTTATTTAGTTCAGACTGGAAAAATGGCGAATACTGTACCGAGCAACTTGACCGTAAGCTCAGGGAAAAACTGAAACCTACATACTCCGGAGTAAGCCAATGTTCGGCTACGCCACGGAGAGAGCAACAGACGGGCAAAAAAAGAGGTTCATGAGTCTAGTGAGGGCGCAAGGTTTTTTTCGTGTTTGTGTGTAGGCACAGAATAGCTATCTACGGAAACAGCTGCACAAGGGAAAACACCTGTCGACGCATGTGACGCCCGTCCCACCCATCCAAGACAACACACACGCCCGCAGAAACAAGGGCTCGAGGGGTATGTGATAACCCATGAGGGTTCGGGGGGCGGGCAGGGATTCATGGTTGCACTCCTGCCAAAAACAAGACGTGCCGCCATGGAGAAGGTTTGCCGCTAGTGGCGATATCCTCATTCGCTTTCGAATATGGCATTAATAAGGCACACGAATTTTGAACGATCGCGCGCGGAACTCGCCGCTGCGCCCGGCAGCAACGACAGGTTTGCTCCTGCGTGGGCTTGGTATCGCCACACAGGCTGATCTATAGCCGCTCTCGGACAGTATCCGTTTGATTCAAGACCTTACGGGAAACTTGTTTCCCATCACAGGAAAATCGTCGGCCCCTCCAAACCAACCCCTTGTTCAGCCCACAACGCCCCCTCCTCTTCCCCCTCGGCACCTCCCAAGAGCTGCTCGTCCTCCCACCCAACCGCACCCCCTACTTCGATGGCCTCCCTCTCGCTCCCAGCTCCAACCGCCGCCGCGATGCGCTGGATGTCTTCGGGGTCAAGCGCGTTGGCTAGCTCGGCGCCACGGCGGCCGGCCACCCGATCCTCGTCTGCCTCCGCCGCCCTCCTCGCGGACACGCTCCCGGCAGAGTTCACCCGAACCGGCAACGATACCGCCGCCGCTGAATTGACGGCTTGTGTTTCGGAGGCGGTCCCAGGATCGGTCCTGCTTGATCCGAAGGGAGGAACGGGTCTCCTGTAGAGGTGAAAGGCGGTCGCGACGTCAGCGGGGGAGATTCCGCCGCCGTGCTTGCGAGCGACGGCCTGCAGCTCGGGTAGAAGTCTGTTCTGGTACAAGGCCCATGGGTCGCCGTCGAGACGGGCGTTGCCGTTGCTCCTCCCCCAAGCGAGAATATCGGACAAAGCCTGGATTAGTTCGCGAGTTCATTAGGGCGAGGAAGGACAGAGGGGGTGAAGGTGCCGTGCCACGAGCTATGCACTCGCAAGGCTAAACACTACAAGTCAGGTTCAGCTTTGGTGTCCTTATCCCATGCGTTTAGGCCAGTGATGAAAGACGAGGCGTGTCATAAGAAATATGCCCTTAGAGGTGGTACAACAAACCTGTGCACGAACAGGTTTGGGACACTTGTTGTTCGCGCAATCCGATTCTCTGACAACACGCATACTTGATTCGTTTCCCCCTAGAACGGACTGATTGCACCAACTGCAGCTAGGCCGCTTCCTCTAGCCTGCCCATCCCATCATCGCACGCTTTGCGATGCGGTAGACGGCACGCGTTCACTGCTCGGTAGAAGAATAAGTATCATCACTTGGAGGAGGGGCTCTAGAGACACCAGTGGGAGTTCGACAAAGGCTATGCCAACACCGTACCGTGCACGTGGGATGTTCGTGTTTTGAGGTGGCTCAAAACACTAAGGGACGTACCGAATACGCGGATCCATCGTTAGAGGACAAGTCCAGCAAACCTCGTCACGTGACACGGCAAACGCAGCTAGGTAGGACGAGGGGTTCGCGCATTCAGCTTTTGTTTTCTTGTGTAAAAAATCGTCGTCGATATTTTGATGGTTCCTCCCCGGTTCCATGCCTTGGTAAGGTTAACAGCACTACGAGACTCCGGTTCAATCTGGCACTGGGTTGTAGACATGCTAGCAATGCCAACTCGCAAACACGCACTAATCTCCCCTCAAACTCTCTCTGACTAGCTCCGCTCGCAAGCTGACAAGCGCGCACACGACCCGCCGGGATAATCTCAACAATTGCTCCGGAATGAAATTCAACCAACACCTCCTGGGCTATTGGCATGCTTAGCTGTGTGTCACGGCAGATTGTCCGTGTGATTCACACCCTTCATGGCCGACATCCAAATCCTGGAAGGTTCTTCAACCCAAGAGCCCTAGGCTGTTGGCAAGCGTGATTGTCTGCCATGGCAGATTCACACCCTTCCAAGGGCGATATCCAGGAACACAAGAGAGAAAAACAATACGTAGGGGTGTACTCATATGCCGTAGTCGTCAGACCATTGACCTCGCATCCCTACAAAGCCGGGGACGGAGCACGCCGGGTTCTCACCGGACCAGGCTCTCACATCACCAAGCACGAAGCGCAGCGAGGTATTCGGCGAGTCGCATGAAGGGTGCGCTGCATCCTGCTAAGGGTGTTCGGCATCTTGTGCTTACTTCCTTGCGTACGGATGACAGCTGCGTATGACTTAATCTATTTTCTGGTGCTTTCACTTCCAGAGACAGTTATAAGCACTGTGTAACCGCCTCGAGGGTGCCTGACCATTTTGACACAACGTGGTGCGATCATCCCCCTTTGCGCGAAGTGAGGGTTCTCGACCCCGCACAACAAAATCTACTTGACCACCATGACGGTTACCGCAATAACAAAAAAAAACAGGGCAAAAAAAACAAGCGGAAACCTGGTTGCCGAGCTCACGAAGTGATCGGTTTGTTTTAAAACGTCGTCGTTGCCAAGAGACGAGAACCCAACCCCGACGGCAAACACCGAGGGGGGGGCTTGTTTTACAACGTCGTTGCCAAGCGACGAGAACTCAACCCCGACGGCAAACACCGGGGGGGCGGTCGCCAAAGAGGGTGGAAAAAAAAAAAAAAACATATGTGTGATCCCGGCTGATACGTCAAAAAACTTTTTAGCCGAGAGGTGTGTAGAATGGCGCCAAAACAACAGGGACGAACACACGCACGCAAACACGGCTTCGTGTCTTCAGCCGCACTGAAACTGACGGCATTTCATTGGTCAACCGGATAGCGGGGTCGATGGAAATACCAACAACACACGCACGGCCAAAGTCACACAGGAGGAAGACCACACCGGAGGAGTTTTAAATTTTGTTTCTAACACCGCTTTTCATGGGAGACTAACCCGCGATCCACCGCTCTCGCAAAAAAAAAAAAATGAAACGCCAACAAAGGCCGACCACCGCCCCTGCACCAACCATCAAGATGATATATTGATTCCCGTTAAATTGTCTCCAGCGCATCCATACCCACAAAAACAAAACTCCACGAAACGCATACAAAGGCTGACCAACACCTTCATCATTATGTCTATGTTCATCATGTGTGCTAGGGACGCTAGGTCATGGGTTCGATTCCCGGTGGAAGTGAGCTGTTTTTTTGCTGAGTTATTTCTCTCGCTTCCGTTCCTGGTTGTTGAATGCGCTGCTATGTTTAGTTCGTGTGTACCGCACACTTTGAGGGAAGAGAGTGCAGCACTCTTCTCGCGACAGAAATTGAAGGCAAGCATCGCGCGAGGGATTGAGGGGGAGGAACCCTTCTGTGTGACCACGGATTAGCTCCTACTGTACCAGGCAGAAATGCTGTAAGCGCTGAGATAAAGTGAGGGACAAGAGAAAATTTCTTAGGGAGACTGGTCCAGTGGAAGGCAGGCCCAGTACATATCTCACAAACATCTGTGCCTATCCTATCGACAGACAACGGAATGTGCGTTATCACAAACGATATGCATTGTCCAACCACACCTACATTGGCCGAGAAAAAGAAGCTAGTGAAGATCCGAGCCAGCGGTAAGAAAACAGGATGTTCAAGAGAAATGCTTAATGCGGGTAAACGTTCTTGAGAGAATGAAATGAAGAGAAGCAAGACGCAGATGAACGCTATTGGACAGGATGGCATCTTCACAACAGGCTCACCTGTCGAGAGGCCAGAAGCAGCTCTTCCTCGTTAGACACCGAGGGGGGGGGGCGGTAGAGCCACTCTTCAGCTGCGAACCCCCCGAGCGAGGCGCCTGACGCTATCAGGGCCACCCCTTGCTCCCGACACTGTCGTGCGAGGCCAGTGCTCCCACTGCTGCCGCTGCTGCTGCCGATGCTGCTGCCGATGCTGCTGCTGCTGCTGCTGCTGCCGCTGCTGCCGCTGCTGCTGCCGATGCTACTGCTGCTCCTGCCGCCGCTGCTGCTGCCCTTTGGGGCCTTGATCAGAGAGGACGCCACCTTCAAAGCGCGCGCACACACACGCACACACCCATAGAGGTTCCGGAGGTTCATTACCTTGATGCCAGGTTTGGGCGAGCCCGCCGCGATTGACCGTGTTGCTCGATGCAATACTTACCCTAACGCTAACCCTACAGCATCTACCATCTACCATCTACCATCTACACCGTCCCGACGGCAACGAATGCGTAGGTTTGCGTCCACCTGCGGACTAGGTGCGAAGTGATTGGAGATGGAGTAGTAGTGTTGGGGTGAGTCGTGCCTGCTTTAACGTAGGTTGCGCAAGATATCACACCCCCTGGACCGATTTTCGAAGCTCGATATCTCGGCAGGAAAAGCAGTGACGGTCCCGAAAATGGCGGGAGGCGTTGGGACCGTCTCATCGAGAGAGAGCTTTCCGAAAATGAACACTTCCATTTCGGTAACCTCTTTGTCGTGGAGTATTAGAGCGTTGAAAATCGGTCCAGGGGGTGTGATATCTTACGTCATGTCACCTACGGTAGAGCAGTCTCGCGTGAGGGCTTCCTGGAAATATGCGGCTCAGAGACCACTCCTCATTCTGGTGTACCAGCTGCCTCAACATGTGCAGGCGGGGCTGAGAGTAGTGATTGCGGAAGGTGCTTCGCATGTCGCGCGCACGCACTACTGTTCGTCGCTCACGACTACCAACGACGAGGGAAAGATGTTTTTCAACATCAAAGTACGAAAAAATGATGCATTGCAATGGGTTTGATATCTGAAGGGCAAGTGTTCTCATTAGTTGTTCTTTAACGATAGACGGGGCTGCTGCTGTTCACACAAGGACGGACTCTCCGATTTTCCTCCTTTTTGCTCAACGGCACTGATGGTGGAATGTATCTGATGCACCGATACTGCCCTTGTTATTAGAGCGCCGGCACAGAGGTTGCTGCCGTATCTTACTCGGAAAGAATGCACGGGTGCACCAGTTTCTTGCTCGGGGTGTTGGGAAGCCATGGTGAGCGGTTAAACTGAGACTCGATCGTACCCGCGGGGGAAAGTGATCGGCAGAGAGAGGAATAAACGGACTGTTCTTGCCCTCATGTGACAAATGTTTCCACGAGAGCTTCGATAAAAGACACCGTAAGGTGACGTAAGATATCACACACCCTGGACCAAAATAGCTCGATTGCCCCACAGCAGCAAAGAGTTGAGTCGTCGGAAAATGGCCGAGTTGGAAACGGTTCGTCGAGCGCTTTCCGATAGCTTCTCGCTTGGTTTTTCATCATTTTCGTCATGGAGAAGTTGAGCTTTGAAAATCGGTTGCAGGGGCTATGGTATCTTGTCACCAACCGTTAGATCTTCCAGACACAAGAAAAAAAAACTGCAAGAAGCGATCCGCAGAACCCAAATCATTGCTATTGGACCAAACAGACCGCGGTCGAAACTACTGTATTCGTTTGTTTTCGGTTATCTACCGGTACACGCGAGAGGCAAGCTTACCAAATTCGAAACCACCGTGAAACCGTTTTTGGCTGCAAGGGCCAACGGTTCCCCCGGGAACCCGCACACGCCAACATTGGAAACCCACTCCAACTCTTCTAGGTAGTAGAGCGCATCCAGGAAGTATCGATCCTCGAAATCGCGCCTGTTGGGTGTGCAGAAAGCGGAGAGACGAAGGGGACAAAGACGATCTGTTACGACACGACACACGAATCAGTTTGTAGAAGTTCTAGCGTTTCCTAGCGGTTCATCCTGTCACCCATTTCTTTTGTTGTTCCCCCTGTTACGACACACGAACCAGCTTGTAGAAGTTCTAGCGTTCTTCCTAGCGGTTCATTCTGTCACCCATTTCTTGTTTTTCCCTTGTTTCCAACTTCACATCCCTTGATCCACGCATCACATCTGTACCTTCTTCGTCGCCGCTTACCACTCTTTGGCCCGCTCTCGGCTACATACCCTCTGTCCCCCTCCTCCATTCGCTGTCTCCCAGCGTCCTCTCTCGGACTACTCGGCTGCACGGTGCTCAACCACTACAGTCACCCCCACCATCCCAGCCAATGACATCAACGAACGGTAGACGTCCGTTGTGGCGACAACCTTCGAGGAAGAGGCCACAACCACAACAGCAACAACAACAACAGCAACAACAGCAACAACAACAACAACAACAACAACAACAACAACAACAACAACAACAACAACAACAACAACAACAACAACAACAACAACAACAACAACAACAACAACAGCAACAACAGCAACAACAACTACAACAACAACAA